ATAACAATGAGCAACACAACTCGTGATGAGAGCAAGAGGCAACGACAAAAAGAACAAAAGGAAGAGAGGAGGTGATGGGAAGCATCGATCATGGTGGGAGTAGGAGATAGTAGCGGTGGCAGAGACAATGACGATCGAGAACAGCTAGAAGAGGGAGGAGAGTATTTTTATCAAATTAATAAAAAAATATTCCAAATAAAAACAATTATGAGTCAAATATTATTTGATAAAAGAATTCTTTTTTAAGGTGAAATGCTCAGCATGCTAATCCACTGAACTTGATTTCAAAATTCGAGAACAAAATAAACCCCATCTCGAGATAGTGATGAGCCTATGATTCTAACATTTGGAGAGCAATTAAGCTCAATCTTGGAGGAAGACACAGTGTATGGCTGATCTCACAAGAGGAATGAAGTATGCACTAGTGGTGGAGTGTGGGTGGACGCAAGCAAGCAAGAAAGCATGGACGAGGTATGGAAGACAATGTCGTCATGAATTGGGTGACAGTGACACAACAAACTCAAGCTGGTTGCCAAGTCTCCTTCAAACATTTACGCATCAGCTGGTTCAGGTAATTTCATTGTTTCATGTCCTAAAGACTTGGCCTTTCTCTTTCCTTCTTGTTTGCTGGTCATCAACTATCATGTGTAATTACAAAGCTATATTGGTTGATCTATATCAGCTTGATCACTTCCTTACATCTCTGGTTCTGGACATGAGAAGAATGACCCAGTGGTGCAGTTGCATAGCTTCTCCACCATGGCAGAATACCCTTTTCTTCAGAAGCTGATAGAAACAACCTCATAGTTGCAGAGAACAAGGATTAACAGTGTCTGCCGATTGGAGAGGTACTTTTCTTGATCATTTCCAGTTCAACATTAACAAATACATCAAAGAGCAACCCAGCATATGCATCCACTCCTATTTTTGTTCACCTGCCATTTGAGTTCATAGCTTTGATGCTCTTATCAAGAGGAATCAAGATAATTTACAGATCTCTCCAAAGTTCAGTAAACTTAAGATGATGGAAAATTGCTCAACAAAGTAAATGTGTTATTGCACTTTGAAAGACATTGCTCAGAATTTAGTTGTCGTGACAGCATATACAACAGAATACAAGTTCAACAAGAGCTGCGTACTAGAATTGCTTAATCAGTTGACAAAAATATGCAGAGAACTACAGGCTACAGGTACAAGAGGCAAAGCCTATTGTGGATACTGTATCAGAATCTGCCTCGAAGGGAGAACATCCTTGGCTTGATGACCAAGAATGTTTTTACTTTGTTGTTTCTTCAGATTCTGTATTAACAAGCATGCTAAATTTTCTGTTTAAGGACATGGCGCAACTGAACCCTTTGACTCTCCAACCTTGCCTCCATCAGCTTCGACTTTAAACTGTGCTTTTGATTGCCCCGTGGCCATTCAATACAACCTTTCATTCCTCGATTAATATGATGATTCAGTGAGTCAGGAGAGCTCCACTGTCCTAGGCTCAAACCAACTTCATCCAAACCTATATCAGGAGATAAAGTTACATTGGAGATCCTTCCATTTGACGGCCTTCCATTCATATGCTCCACTGAAAGTTTCTTGTACTCTTCACCATTGTTTGAAGATATGGTTCCGTTGGAGATCCTTCCATCTGACAGCCTCCCAGGTTTCACCTCAGCTGATGTTTTCTTGAGGTCCTCAACATTATCATGAGCTGCTGATCTCCAAAGTCTACATATCGAAGACACCTTTTTTCTTGACTTTGTGTTTGTAGAACAAACCTCTATGATCTCATTGTTTAGTCTGTTGTTCCTCATACCATCCTCCTTCCAGTCTGCTTCACTCGCCGAAGCATTGCTTTCTTTACAGTATCCATTAACAGATGGTTCACTTCCATCAAGTGTATTGCTTGAGCCTTGCTCCTCAGGATGACTCATGGTTTCCCAGTCACTATCATCGTCTACATCATCATTGCTATCTATCAACTCACGTGTGTGCTGCTTTGTGGGATGTTCTAGGAAGACATCTGTTTCAGGACTTGCCGTGTCAATCTTGGAGGCATGGCTTCTAGGGCTGTGACCACCACAAGGTTGGATGTATCTCTCGTTAGTTTCTTGCGCTGGTTGGAGTTCTTCAAAGACAGCATAAATGTCTTCTGAAGCAGGTGGCGGCTGGTAAGACAACTCTTTTATCTCATCAATGTTAACTGAGTTTGCTTTTTCTCTAAGCAACTCAGCTTCTCTCATCAATGCAACATCCAAGTCTTCAGTCGTCTCTGCAGCCAAAAATACTTCTAGCTCCATTATTAGGTCCCTCAGCTGTGAGTATTTCTCCTCAAGCATCAGCTTTGCATCAATTAACTTCATCTGAACTCTTTCTTCACGCCATACCTCCGCCATCTGCAGCATCCTCTTCTCCTCCTCAACTTCTTCTCGGATCTTCAATGCTTCCAACCTCAGCGACTCGATTTCAGTTTTGTCTTCCCCAATCTCTTTAGCAAGCTCATCACAGACGTCCTCAACAAGCTCACGGGATTTGCATTCTTTTTCATAATCCTGCAAGAGCCGCTTCGCAGTTAACTTGGCCTCAGCAAGCTCATTGACCAGCTTGTTATGGACAATCTCTATCTTTTGCCGCTTTTTCCTCTCTCTATCAAGGTCAGCCTTCATTCCCTCAATTATAGCTCGGACCTTCTCATGCTCTCTGCTCCGCCATGATGCCTTCTCCTCAGCAAGCCTTTTCAAAAATTGGTCCAGTTTTTTCTTTGCTGATCTCCGCTCATTCTCGAGCTCATTGATGCGGGCATGAGCACTTTCGAGCTCAGTCCGGAGAGAAGAAACAATAGAAACTGTGTTCAGCTCCTGATCTTCAAGAAGCTTGAGGTGACTATAGAACCGGTATACCTCCTCCGATGTCATTAAGCTGCCAGGGTCCCATTTAGTTGCCTTCTCCATTGCAGAACTCTGAAATCCAGCAAACTGTTCAACACGAGAAATATCAACCAAAAACACAGTAGCTGTCTAGAAATCCATTTAGTCCACAGAAAAAAAGAGTTACCTTGTGGATACTGCCATATTTTGGACTTAGGACCGAGACGGGACTAGCAAACTCTTTCTTTATATTCTGTTTGGTGTGGATGTCAGTGCTAAGGGGATTATATAGTAGCTGAATTCCTTGATGCCCAGGGACAGGCTGCAATGTAAAAGGAGAGGTGGAAAGTGATGAATAACAACATTCAAATATCCAAAGTGCAATATGCCATCTATGAGAGAGAGAGAGAGAGAGAGAGAGAGAGAGAGAGCATCATAGTTTTTGAACCTGCACTGTAACCCATCATCATGACTAAACTCTAGTTCCAAGCCTAAGTCTCATTCTATCTTGATGTGGTGAGAGCAACCATGAAACTGTGCCTCTAACCAAAGATCTCAACGCATCACATTCTTCCCTATAGCTATAAAGGGATCTGGTGCTATTGACTGCTGGAGATCCTCTTTTGATGAAAACAGCAAAAAATCAAGAACAAATTGGTAAAAACGAGTTTTTTGGTGATAAATCATCCATGTCATTTGCCAACTTTCCTAAATTTCTTCAAGAGATCCTTCTTCCTTTTCTGAAAGGACGTTGAAGATACTCTTAAAGGTTCCATTTTGGATGGTATCCGACAAAATGAGCAAGAAAAACTTGGTTTTTTTCACACAATCGTACCATCAAAATGTGAACTTTTTACAAAATCCATATCAATCTCCACCGCAGAAAAGAAACCCTAGAAAGGGAACGCAAGAGTGGGGATCTTGATGCTACCGTACCTCAGGACCTGGAGGAGCTGGACGGCCTTCGCCATCACGGAGGCCCCCACCGGAATCCAGAGGCCGCAGATGCCAGATCCCAGCCGCAAGCTTTCTCGCCGAGACCCGCGGCAGCGGCGGCGGCGGCAACTCACTGGCGCCGGCATCGTCAACCTTTCGGCCGGGTTCCGGCGCCGGTTTCTCGTTAAACTTCCACCGAAGCAGAGGGGTGGCCGGGCCGCTCCTCCTTCCACCGGAACCTGCGCCGCCCTTTCTCGGGCGGGCTCCGACAGCAGCGCCGGGGAATGCGGGGTTACGGATCCGGCGGCGGGGTTGGGGCTTCCTTGCCGGGCGCAGATCGGTGTCGTGTGGTGGCGCCAGGGCTTTGGAGGAAGGAATCCTCTCGAGGCGGCTAGCGGAGGTCGGCATTGGCCACAACGTCACTCCGACAACATTGAGAGAGAGAGAACAGTGTGCCTGCTCACAAAAGAAGAGTAGAAGAGACGAGCGATCGCTTAGAGGCGTTTACCAAAAGGTCCATACCACGTGCTCCAACCAAAATTACCTAATTACCCACGCAAGGCACGGAGAAGGGTAATATGGTCTTTTGGAAAACGAAGTGGTAAAATAATTAAAAAATACTGAAATTACACTCAAAGCTAAAATCAAAATTGAACTCAAATAATTTCCACACAAATTTTAAAAGTGGAGTTCTCTAAATTTCCACATAATCACATAAAATCATGCCAAGGTCTTAGTTCTTACAAAATCAGGGATAAATTGCCATAACATCTTACATGTGCTTTTCTAATTTTGTGGAAAATCACAATTGTTCTCATAATATTTTAAAATGTTAAAAGGTTATTCATGTATTTCTTTTGTTTATGCTAATTCCATGTGAAATTTTGTGCTTCTTGCCGTCAAATTAGGGGGCATAAATGAAAATCCACTATAAAAAGACTTCCAACTCCCTCGCCAATAGATTGAGAGGGTATGGAAACGGGTACTCGGTTAGTCCAATTGACTTTGTGCAGCAAACTCCCAAAGCCACATCCTTAAAGAACTATTTTCCTTTTTTATTTAGATTAATATTCTTTAATTTTCTATGTTATATTATTATATGTTATTGTCATGTTCCATAAGATTTAAGTAAATGACAGTCTGCAGTGGCGTACGTGGCACGATCATGGTTTTATTTGCGGCTGCTGTTTCGACCGGCAGTAAGCTCCCACGCAGGAAAAACGCTCCGCAAAGCGGCTGAACGCGTGTCCCATGGGGGACGTGTTGGACTCCGAGTCGATCGGCATGACGTTTGCTGTGTGGAAATGGAGGCCCGTCTAAGATTGCACCGAGAAGCGATAAGGGAATCCGAGGGAGGCGGAGGTGGGTGCGGAGCGGGGAACAGAGTGCAGGGAGGACCTGGGGAGGAGACCTATCGTCCCGCCACGTCGGAGAAAGCAACGAGGAGGATGACGCATCGCGGCACTGGATCTGGTCCAAGCAAAGAGTTGCGGCATGTGAGAACAGAACCACCTTTCATTATCATACTGCTCTCTTCTGTTTTGGCTTAGTGTAGATAAAACTATTATTTGAGCAGGACAAGTAGATTTGTTGTCATCCTATTCGACTGCACATGAGCTAACTGTAGGCAGGGAAGGCCGGACTGATTGCTAAGATGGGGATAGCAGGGATTGCAAGATGTAATTTGCACAAAGACAAATAATATTAACCTAAATTTATGGATTCTTCCCAACATAATTCAATCCATTTTATAAATTTTATGTTGAAGCCATCCTATTTCGATAAATATTTTAATTAGATAATATTATAAACTCAGTATTTCCTGGACTATTATATTATCGATTGATCGAAAGTTAGAGCATTGAATCCACAAACTTTCAATTCATATAAGATTATATGAAGGAATAAAATTTCTCTGATATATAAGTCAGTAATATGATTTAGAAGATAAGTTTACTATCAATTTTATGAAAAATCTAACATGTTCTAGTACCATGATCAATTTTATAAAAAATCTAATATCAATTTTATGAAAATTTTATGAAAAATTTTAAGAGGGCATCATGCATGATCGAAATTTAATATGTTCTAGTACCACAATAAATATTTTGATCAGATTACTGATTAACAAAAGAAAAAAAAAATCTTTATCTTGTTATTGGAGCACATCATGAGCTTGAAACTTGCATCTATATCTTTTTATTTTCCTCGGTGTTCAATATTACTGGTTCTTCACTTGGATTTGCTTTCACATACATATAAATATGATCATTGGGCCGGATCAGTGTATCTTTAACATACATATAAATATGAAGAATTATACGAATACAACACAAAAAGCAAAAGCTAGCACAAAGAGTAATATGAATATCTTCTAAGGTGTTTCAATCTTGTTTTCCATATTAGTAAGTGATATTTGCCATGTTTGTTGATCAAAGTGGATTGCATCTGATCTCATCGAGTCAGATCAATATGTTTACACATATATATACAAGAGGATATGACACAGGCCGGCAATATGTCATCTCTATCTTGCACCCTATTCACCCAACGTATTCGGGCCTACAAGACGAATACTATGACACCAATAAAAAACATAATTCAGCTCCGAATGTCGATCACCTTTGCGCCGATGCTTGTACGCATTGGTTACACAGCTGCCACCGTTGCAGCAGCTGGCCATGCAGTACTCGACGAGCTTCTTGTAGTTGCAGCGCAAGACACAAACAACGTTTCTACATTATCATTGCATCGACAAGATAGAGTTCGCGATGACCAACAATAGCACAATACAGCTGCCATAGCCATGTAATAGCGAGCTGCAGTAGATGGCCGTGCTTCGACAAGGCGAAGAGGCAACGGCCGATCATGCTTCGGCGAGAAGTAACCACACGACATTGCCCGATTTGCAGCTGTTGCTGTGTATCATGCCCCAGTGATTGGGCGAACCAGGCTCACACGAAACTGCAACAGTAGTCGGCCACCACCACCACACATACCTACTACGATAACGCTACGACGTGCCTTGGCAAGGCACGATAATAGCTTGGCATAACTGAGCGACATTTTAAGGACCATACTATGCATCGTCCAAAATGGGTTGGCATCTCGGCATCTCCAAGCAGCAGCAAAGGAGGTTGCTGCAGTTGTAGCTCTGCCTCGCCAAGACATAGGGTTGTCCGAGCACTAGTGAAGGAGACTGCAGCTCGACATGGCTGAGCTACAACACCAAAGTTATCATTTTTTTCTGTTTTTTTTCTTCTTTCTTATGGGTCTTTACGTGGGTGGTGCTGCTTTTCTTTCTCTCCCGTTTTCCACTTTGTCTTTTATTTGTTTGAGCTCAAAGAAAAAAGTATCATGTAAGTAAATTATTGTCTTTGTTTCTTTTTTGATCATTGAATAGTTATTTATATATGATAAAATGTGTTTCTCTCACAAAATAGTTTTTCAAAAACTGACAGGTATTTAAATCTTCACATTGAGAGGAGCATTGAATTTGGAAACTGTTATAACCAAATCTATTGTTGTAAAAACATTGCAAGGAAACTATTACATTTTAGTGTAAATAAAAAATATTGAAGAAAATTGGAAAAATAAATGTTAATAAGCTAAATAATCCTTCAAAATATCATAAATTATTTTGATTTTGAAAAATTAAAATTAATAATTATCTAAACTAAAAAATTTGTTATAGAGTTCTATATGGTTATAATTAAATATTTTTTAAAAAATTTCATAACATTTAGATTACTCCTTAAAGTCGACACTCTAATTTTGGGGTCCAACTAAAATCAATATATTATATATCAAAATTTATTTTTTTGGATCAAATTTTTACCATAGTTTATGATATAGTACAAAAAACATTGCATAGATCCATCATGTCTTAGTGAAAATGAAAAAAAAAATGGAAAAATAGGAAAATGCCAAACTGTTCAAGTATTGAATAAATAAATAAAAATTAAAAATTAAAAAAAATTATTATAGAGGTCTATCTAGTTGCAACTGAAATTTTTTTAAAAAAAATTAAAACATTTGGATCTGAGGTCGATATTTTGATTCTGAGTCCAACCAAAATCAAGATATTGTATATCAAGAGTTAACTTTAGTGGATCATATTTTTATCAAAAAATTTTGACCAATTTAGAAACTCAAATGTCAAAAAATAATATATAGATCTATCGTGTTTTTGGTGAAAATAAGAAAAAGATGAAGAAAATAGGAAAACACTAAACTTATCATATTTTAAAAAATAAAAATATTTAAAAATACTGTAAATAAAAAAATATGTTATAGAGGTCCATCTAGTTATAATTGAAAGCTTTCCTAAAAATTTTATAGTATTTAGACTACTCTTTGAGCTTAATACTTTGAATTTAGGTCTAACTAAAATCAAAGTATAATATACCAACAGTTAAATTTTTTGCACCAAATTTTTACCATAGCTTTATGATACATTTAGAAGTAAAATATCAAAAAATATTACATGGATCCATCATGTTTTGGTGGAAATGAAAAAAAAATATTGAGAAAATAGAAAAACACAAAATTGTTTAGATAATAAATTAATCAAAAATATCAAAAAAAATCTACAAATTAGAAAATTTATTATAGAGATCTATATGATTGCAATTGAAAGCTTTTCTATAAACTTTAAAGTATTTGTACCAATCCATGTAGTCGATACTCTAATAGCAAGAGTTTATAGTTTTGAGGTTTAACCAAAATCAAGATATCATGTAGCAAGAGTTGATTTTTGTAGACTAAATTTTTATCATAATTTGTGGACCTACCTAGAAGCTAAGATGTCAAAAAATAATACATGGATCTATCATGTTTTGGTGAAAATAAAAAAAATATGGAGAAAATAAGAAAACATCAAACTATTTAGATATTGAATAAATAAAAAAAACTCAAATTTAGAAAATTTATTGTAGAGGTTTATTTGGTTGTAATTGAAAACTTTCATAAAATTTTAAAGAATTTGTACCATTCCATGAGGTCAATATTCTAATTTTTGGGTCCAACTAAAATCAAAGTATGGTATATCATAAGTTAACTATTGTGGGCCATAATTTTGCTATAGTTTGTTAACCTATTTAGAACCTCAAATGTCAAAAATTAATAAATAGATCATCATATTTTGGTATAAATGATAAAAAGATTGAGAAAATAGGAAAAATATCAAATTGTTCAAAATTTGAAAAAAAAGAAGAAAATATCAAAAAAAACCTAATTTAGAAAACATATTATAGAGATCCATATGATTACAACTAAAAGCTTTTTTTAAAAAAATTATAATATTTGGATCACTCCTTAAAGTCGATACTCCGATTTTGGAGTCCAACCAAAATCAAGGTATAGTACCAAAAGTTGACATTTTTAGATCAAAGTTTTTACATAGTTTTTGAACCTAATTAGAAGCTAAAATGTTAAAGAAAATATTATATAGATCTATAATGTTTTCATGGAAATGAAAAAAAATGAA